GCTTTGTTCCTATATCAAGCATCTCTACAGGCAGTCATCTAGATACCTTAAACCCTCACATATATTTAGTAGAATTTCTCTAAGCAGATTGCATTTCAACCATGTTTTTCTCTAGCGATTGATTTTCTTTACACACATTTTGCAAATCTTTCTGGAAGAGTTGGTAAGGTTCATTTTGAAAAAATAGATTTCTTTTCTTGCCTTGTCCGAACAGCTTAAAATGACCCTGCATCAATTCAGAAACCAGTCTGGATCTGTGTTTGGGATCCTCTCCCTGTTGGGGCGTCATCCTGTGTCAAAGTTTCAACTATTTAGCTGCTGATTTTGATGGTCCATATTTTTTCTGTGTAATAATACAAAATATGAGAAGGAAAATGGTCCCGCAGCATAATACTGCCAACATTATGCTGGCTATTAAAGACATTTTTGCCTGCTCATATCATGAGAATAAGCCCTGGTTTATTCTGAAATCCAAAACTTAGAAGCAGTGAACTTTAAAAAGAACTTGGAGTAATTATTGTTCATGGTAATAAGTTATTTTGCTTTGAGCATTAACCCTTTTCAGTTAGCTGTGAGCAGATTGGTCTGTGCTGAAATGTTTTAAGCTCTGACAAATAAAATGAAAGTACACACTTTATTCTAACAATTAAAATAACAAACACAAAAGAAGAGAAAACTCACATTAAAATATTTATTTTATGTTTACTCTTCAAACAGTCAGTTCCATCTTTTGTACAGAAAAAAGTAAAAACACGTTTGTCCTTTAGAAAAAGTGGAATGTCCTTTAAAAACAGTGAGACTGTCACATGACCCGTCACTGCTGCAGGACAGAAACCTTGACTCCAAAGTCTCTTTAACACCCAGTCACCTGTCACACAGGCCCACTTGTCCCCTGAAGAACTGAGCTTCTGTAAAAAGCCCTGAGTTCAGTCTGGCAGGTGTTTTTACTAACCTAATGTTCCACTTTCTACGTTAAAGGCAGAGGCAACATCAGCTTCAAGCTTCACCTGACAGAAGATGTGACTGCAGATCAGATCAATATTTTCATCAGTTAACTTTAGAACTTGAGGTTCAGTGTTCTGACGCGTTCACAACCACACAGGAGGCACCAGGACACTCTTCTTGTCACACCTTGAATGAAGATGATGTGTGTGAAGCAGCAGGTCAATCAGCAAAAGCACTGTGATCCATGTGTTTCTTAAACAGAGCCAAAACTCAGGAAGCTACAGGTTTCAAAACATGAGCAAATTGAAAGTGTTTTTTTAGATTAGTGTTTAGTGATGTCCCACCGTGCCTAAACGCAGCATGTGGCCTCAGTAAACATGTTTAAATTAAGCTGCTTCCTGTCATTGTGTTCCTGTGTTAAATGAGCTCCATAAATAAACGTAGTGTGCTCAGAGCAGGACCAACTGCTACAGCAAACCCACAGTGACCTACAACCGGCAGTGTCGTCATGGCAACAGACAGGTTTCAGCTTCAAATACACAATATATCTACACATGTATATGTATATTTATATATATTTACATGAAAAAGTCCCAGCATGCAACAGAGGTTGCCTGACACTGCTCTTGTAATCGTCAGCCTCAAGTGAGGCAAGTCCGACCACTAAACCCATCAGGACAACAGGAAACCGAACCAGCTGAATGAAACAAGCATATACCATGATATAAATCGCTCCTTTGGCCCCAAGAATACAGACCACAGGTGTTGGTAAAGGTGTTTGGATCTGATGGAGACGTCAGACATGGAGCCATTTCCTGCTCCACCATTAAACGTTGTGTCACACTCAGCTCGGTGCTCTGGGTATTTAACCACAGCTAGTTATGTTTGCTGAAATTTCCTCAACAGGCAAGGTGTAGAAATCTACTTTTCTGGCGTAGTGTAATATACTGAGTGATATACTCGTTTCCACTTGCTACATGAAGCTCGTTAGTATCAAACAAAGACTGCATGATAGTTTGAGTCAAGTTTCTGTTTATTATCACTTTCTTTTTCTTTTTTTTCTTTGACATAACGCTAGCATTTAACTATCCCTGACAGGTGTAACGCTCGTTTGTATAATTTGGAGCAGCTTGGTTCCCAATTTTATCTACATCTAGTTTGTTTTCCTCCTATCGACCGCTGCCTTAGCTGGGATTCGCCATGGCGAGTTGGTGTAACTGGCCGCCATGGCGAAGTTTTTATGCTGGACGCCCTTCCTGAACTATCACTGACCGCCTTGGCATGTTCAGTCAAAGTTTTTGGGTTACTATATTTTGGTTTTAAACCACCCAACATCCATAAGTTCAAAAATCTCTGGTAATGGTAACTAATGCTATAAATGTATGCTAGCAGAAAACAAAGTTAATAATATTTAAACATACTTTTTCTTTGCAGCGGCAGTCAAGATTATTAGAATTAGGGTCTATTTTAAATATTTTCTTTAAAAAACTGTGTCACAGTTTAGCATTGTTCAAGATTATAAAAGTTTTAATTTAACCAGTTTACATGTTTGCATCCAGGGTGCACAAAAGAACTTTATCACAGATCCTTACTCCCAGTAGCTATTAGACATCATAACCGGTGTCGCTGCCAAAAAAACTGTGTTTTTATTTACTGTATATATCTAGCTACTTACTGTAGCTACTTATTTACACTCATATAAATGTAGAAGTGTAAATTGTTTTTTAATAAGTTACATAATTATTAAACCTTTTTGTGTTATAAATCTGCCCTTACTGTACAGTTCTTACCTTCGTGAGTATCCAAATGCTTCCCTTTGCCTTTCACTTCCCTGCTTATTACACCTGATTTCCTTGCTATGGAAAAATAAAGTATATTTCTCTTATTTTTTTAATTAATTAATCAGTACAAGTTAACTTATACCAATGCACTAAAACTGAAGCAGTGACAGTTAATATCTTTTGGAAGTTTGAAGTGAAAACATCGAGTAAATGAAGCTGGTCGATATATTTGAGGATGCAATGAGACGAATGAAAAAGAAACCTGACTCCATGTGAGGGAGTCAGGTCTGAATCCATACGGACATTTTAAGGTCCAGGAACGCAACAGGAAACAGAAGTAGGTTAAACAATTACAAAACATAATATGTGGGGGGGGGGGTCTTTAACTTTATTCAAGGTTTTAGATTTTGAGGTAAATTTTACTTGTCATGTTTACCTGTGCATGACTGGGTAAACTTTACCTCCAAAGTGAAGTTTTACAGAAATTCTGTTTAAATAACAAAAATATTGGAATCTAATTTAAACAGGTGAGATTTTTAGCCTGTTTTGGCCAGGGCAAAAGAAATGATCCCTGAAACTGACCTAAAAAAAGCTGAAATCTTTAGTCTGAAAGAGAAAAAATTTACATGAATTCATGATGTGTGGACTTATCGATAAGCTTTCTGTGTTTAAACTTAGATTTTCTCTTTGGAGATTTGTCGAATGACTCATTCTAAGGACAAATAAACTGCTTCAGTGACCGTGTGCGCTCAGCTCTGTTTAGGTCTCCATCAGATCCCGTCCTGCCATTAGTCCTGCACCAGTAAGACAGCCCGTTTGACTCCTGTGTACTGGGATCAGTGGGAACGCCTCACAACATCCAGACTAAAACACTCACCTGCTGGAAGTCTGTATGGAAACGGTATGGAAGCCCATTTCTGCAGAAAGCTTACCTGTGTAACATAAGCTAAAGCAAAACCATGGTAAATTAGTGTAAAATGTATCTTTCACACAACAATGAGTGGTTTTTAAAACTTATTTTTTAAGTTTAATTTGTTTGTGGTTTAGATTAATTCAAAGGATTGAGAGAAAATTTTTAAAATAAAATTTTCTCTCACTTAATAAAATATATTTCCACAAAAAAACAAAAAGATCAGATGTTCCACAAGAACAAAAAGGTAAAAAACTCTCTGCCTGAGTTGGATTTGTTCCAACCAATAGTTAAACTTTTCAGAGTTCAAATGATTTCCTGTTTGAAGTATTTCTCCTCCAGTTCTAGCAGTAAAACCTGCTCTTCACACCGACTCACTCAGTTCAACCAAACAGCGTTCAGGTTTCTAACTACAACTCCTGGTTCTGATGGGCTTCCATACGTCACACAGCTTCCGAGGCTGAGCCTGTCCAGGTGACTCGTGTACGTTTGACAGCGCTGTGTTTTTTTCTGCTCAGTGGAATATGGCGGCTGCCGTTACAGGAGGCTGACTGAGCGCGTGCAGCTGCAGCGGGGTGGGGGGGCTAAATCATGACGGAGGTTCCGGGCGGCGTTGTCGTCGAGGAGACGGACTGTCGGGGCGGAGCCAGGTCCAGCAGTGCACTGACTGTCCCGGCCACCTGAGGGAGCCCTCGTTCCTCCAGAATGTGAAGAGGAAGACACAACTTACTCTGCACAGAAAAACACCACAGAAGAAGACACAGCGAGGGGCGGGGGTCAACAGAAAGATGGGTCAAACGATGGCAAATCAAACAAAAGAGCAAAATAACTGTAACCATGACAACACAAGGATAAGAAGCGAGGAGGGGTAAAACAAAAGGTTTAAAAAAAGTAATGCAGGAAGGGGAAGCAGTTAGAGATGAAAAATAGAGGCTTCTGCCAATAATGCAGTTCCAGGGGCTGATGGGAGTTGTAGTTTCATCTGAACACAAGCATGAGCAGCTTGCTGGTCTCTGGATATTGGAATCAATGAAGGACATCCCTTCTGTGTGATGCATAAACCCACACCTGCTTCTGAGCACTGCCAGTCAGCTGGCTGATGGAGCACATGTTTCTGTAGCTTAAAAGAAGGAAGGTTGGGATGTTCAGAAATATTTCTGGTCGCTCAGGCAACACTTTCAAGACACTCTGAGAAGGTGAAATGTTCAAGTAACAAACAAACAGGATTCATTTGTTTTTCAACTTTATTTAGAGAAACTTGGAGAAAAAATAACTCGTCCAAAAGCAGGACCAAGCTGAGGTGCAGAGCCTCATTCAAACATCACCATTCTTCATCAGGGAACTAATATCCAGATTTAGTTCCCTGAAACTAAATCTGGATATTAGAGGAACCGGAGCTCTTTGGTGTTGGGTTCAGCTGAAGTGTGAGCAATGGTGCCGACATCAGCCACTGATGGTTCCGCTGACCTTTAATCTCATCTTCCGAGTTTACAGCAGCAACACAACATGATCATCAGGAAGAAGTCTGTGAAAGTAACGGTTCCAGTGGAATGGACCAGGGAAACTCATTACTAGAACAAAAAGTTCTGATCACCGGAGCGTTCTGGGTTTTTATCCACTGCTCGGTAATGGAAGGCTCTTAGCAGAACCAACGGTGAGCAGCAAAGAGGACATTAGCAAAGACTTGGTGTCCAATTCAAGCAGCAGAGTTCTGATTCTAGCAACGTTCACGGATTTAGTACAGTCTGACTGTAAGAGAGGACGAAAGGTTCTGATCCACTTCACACACAGTAAGAACAGTAGAAAACACTCAGACAGGCAGGTGGACATAAGGCACAGAGGGGGCGGAGCTTCAACTGGCAGGATGTGGAAACAGACGGGCCAACAAGTTCTACCTTCTCCTGAGGGCTAACAGGATCATTTAGGTAAAAACCAGCAGCTGCTCCTAACGATGGAGCAGCGAGGTTACAGAGGCAACAGCAGGGCTGACCCTTCTCAGACGGTTTAACTAGAGAACTTCTGTTCCTACGTGCAAACAACTGGGCTTCGTTACTGCGGTTCTGGTCCAGTCAGATCTAGGCGTGCGGCGCCAGGTGAACGTAGATGGCACAGAGGGCCGACATGATGGACAGGTAAAAGAGGGCGAAGCCGGCCATCTGAACCTGAAGGGAGGCGCTTAGAGTGGGCGGGGCCAATGAGAGTAGTGCCTGTAGTGTCCCATAAAGCCCACCCCCCTTCCCTTCCAGAACCTCCTCCACCGAGCAGAGACGGTCCTGAGTGTGTGTGGAAGTGATGGACACGGTGAAAAATGAGGACGGAGAGAAAAAGGAAGGCAGGAAGATGAAGAGAGGAGGTACAGCTGTTACTTTAGAAGGAGGAGAAGAAGAAGCTTCATCATCAGGTGGTTTCAGACTGAATCCAGACGTCTGAACAGAAAAAAAATTATTTATTTATAAAAATCACATCAAATTTACCCAGAAAATGTAGAATATTATTGAGATATTTTGTTTAAAGTATTTAGTTTAGACAAAGTTTAATAAATTAATTTGACAAAAAAAGAATTATTTTTCTACAGATAGGTAATAAAAGTAAATCAATATTCACAGAAAAATGACTAATTTATTCAACATTATTAATAAATCAAATCTATTTTAATCAAAGATTTGATTATTTTGTATTTGTATCATTTACTTAGTCTTTACTTAAAGCTGAGGCTGTTTAAATCTACTTGATTTAATTTCCTGTCGCTTTGTTGCTACAGATTTTCAAACTATGTTGAGTCTATTGAAGATGCTCTATGATTAATCTGAGAATCAGTTCAGACACATTCCCCATCACACTGCAGGAAGCACAAAGAAAACTTGTTAAAATATGATTTTCCTTTTAAAGATTTAAAGTCTTATTGGTGTTTAAAGTTAGCCAGCAGCCTGTTTTCCTATTTTAGCAGCTCTGATCATTCTGATGGTGGTTACTTCTCTGCCAGCTCCATCAGGCACGAGGAAACGTCTCAGAAATCATTTCTTTCTAGTTCTGATCTGGCGAAGCATTCAGTCTGTCAGCTCATCTGGATTCAGCCTTTCAAACCCCTGCTCCGTCTCTCAGGTGTGTTGTTTACCTGCGGGACTCCGATCCTGCGACACGCCTCCAGGAAGTTCTCAACATTGCGGCGACACTTGGCCATGGTGAGTTTAGGCTGCAGGGGTGCAGAGACAAAGGTCAGCGAGGGGTCAGCACACTCGATGGCTTAAGACCGGTCAGAGGCACTCACCACAGCGGGGGAAGGGACGTGGATGCTGGGGACGGAGCGCGGCCTCACGTGATTGGCAAGGTGGCACAGCACCACGCCGTCCGTCAGAGCGGCTCCCAGGTCGCTGGGCAGCGCCACCTTCAGTCGGGACTCAATGTTCTGGGCAGGAAGATGAAGAAGGTGAAGAAAGCAGGCGCAGAGCAGCTCCTACAAAGGTGGAGCAAAAAAAGCTACGTACCTTCCTGAGCTGCTCCACCAGCTCCGCATCTTCTCCCACCAAAGGAGGAGCCGCAGGAGCCTCCTGCTTGGTCTGAGAAGGAGCAACAGCTGGGTCCCCTGCAGGATGGAGAGGGAAAGGTCACATCCTCCAGAGCTAAGAGGTAGAATAAAGCAGGAAAACACACACCTCTTCTTTTCTCGTCTCTTTGTCCAAGGCGATACAGGAAGCTCTCAGGACGAACGCTGCCTGTCTGACTGGAGGCTCCGCCCCCCAAGTTTTGATATGATGGTGACTGATTGGCTGAGAGAAGAGAAAAGGCTCAGAGTAAAAAGGTGTCGAAGTGAGCGGAGAGTGGATGTCAGGCTTTGTTGGTGGTCTTACCTGTAGGAGACAGGGTGGCTCTGTCCTCCCCCTGCTGGGAAACAACAGTACAGTTTTACATTCCAACTAAATGGAAGTGAAAGTCTGTGTTTAGATTCTCTAAAACACACCATTTTCACTCATCTCCCTCTGCTGTGAGACACAGAACCAACAGATTTAAGGATCTGGACAAACAGCTGAGAGACGGAACCCGTAGAGAAGAGATACCAGCTGGTTTACACGCAGCGGTCCCTAAAGCTTCATGCAGAATCGGGATCTGAAAGAACCAAACCGCAAGCTGCCGCCGTCTTATGGTCCAACATGCACGGAAAGACCGACCGGATTCAGAAGAAACTGATGAAAACAGGAAGACTAAGTGGAAGGAAAAAGTCTCCTTCCACCTCTGAAGCCATCAGGCCAGCTTCAGTTGACCTCATGCTGCACAGAGGGAACGGTGATCTCACATGCTCTGATCAGTGCTTCCTTCACATGCTTTTATTTTGGAAACCGGTAATGAGATGCAAGCTTCATTTTAGGGGCATGGCATCTCGATCTTACCATGATGAGGGCGGAGTCATCTGTGTGCGTGGAGCGTCTGGAGGGGTAGACGTTCTGACAACGAACAGCAGACACACAAACATCAACAGAAACATAAAGGGGTGTGGCCTAAACACAGGGGCGGGACTACTGTTCTGCGGCGTCGGATCAAACGAAAGAAGAGGAGGGTGAAGGAAACAGAGGGTGTGTTCATGTGTTGTTCAGAATGGCGAGGACGGACTCACCTCAGCCTCTGGACCGGACTTTGATGGACTCTGGGTCGATTTCTGCGGGAAAACAAGAAGAGAGATGCAACCTCAGATTAAAATGGTTCAGACCAGATTCTCCATGCTTAACTGGTTCAACTGTTTACCTTGGCATAGTTGGTGGCTCCATCTCTCTGGAGAGAACGATTCCTCTGCCTCTCTTCGTCGTACCTCAGAGCGGCGAGCTGAGCTTCCCTCCTTATCCTCTCAACGCCTCCAGAAGCAGAACCAGAGGCTCCTCTCTAAAAGCACACAGGTGTGCGTGTCAGACCTGAAGAGGCAGTTTTGTTTTAGAGGATTTCTGCCAGACGCTCGAGCGTCTTACCTGACTGTGGGAGGTGGGAGACGGCGAGGCGCTGTCGGCCATGTTTCTGTGAGAGACACGGAAACAGACAGGAAGTGAGACACAAAGTGAGGAGATCTAGGTGGGAGCGGGTTTGATTGGGTGGTTTATCTAACCTGCTGTGTCGCCTCATGTCATCGGCCCGGGCCAAGCTGTTCTTCACTGGAGAACCCTGGAAATACAGACAGGGAGACAGCCTTTCAAAAACACGATGCAGCTTTTTAAAGTCTCTGGGCATCAGCAGCATCTGTCTGAACCAACATGACGTCAATTTAAACTTGAATTAAAGCGTCCAGCAGCAGTGGGGGGGGGCTCACCTCTCTGGTGATGCGTCTCTCGATGTAGGCCATGAACTGAGAGCTGAGGCTGCTTCTGTCACCTCGAGCCTTCCCATCCTCCTCCTCCTCCACGTAGCTGTCTATGAAGTCGATCTGCTCCATCTCCCCATCTGCTGTGGACAGAGAACATGAGAACGACAGCGGAACACCGGGAGAACGGCGGTCAGACGTTTGAGTCGTACGTGTCCCGTTGGGCAGCACAGCTCCTCCTGGTCCAGAGCGTCTGTGATCTCTGACCGCCGGCTCCGACAGCTCCTCTGAAACCTGAAACAGAGCAAGAAAGGTTCTTGTAGGAGGGAGGAGCATGGATCCAGACCCAAGCTTGTGGCTGATTTCATCTGATATCTTAGTAACGTTTCTATCATTTCAGAAAAAGAATTGAACACGAAACCTTAAAAAACTAATTATTGTATTGAAATAAGTGCATTTCCCTTTAATTAGAGCAGATAAGGAAAATTAGACGATAGAATAAGATGATAGCAAAACATCTATTTTTTTTTAAGTTCCATAAATAGTCTTATTCGCCTGTTTAAATTAAGCTGAAACACACTTTGTTTTCATGAATTTTAAGTTATTTCTAAACAAGTTTTTACAGACAATCAGTAACTGAAGTGAACCAGGAGCTAGGCTCCCTGCTGGAGGAAGAACCCAGAGGTCAGCGTGCCGCTCACCTCGTTGCCCAGCCACCGCTTGTCTCCGCTGTCGACGCTATTGAAGCCCGAGTCGAGCGCTCCATACGGTCGCCCTTGATACGCCTCATCAACACTAGTGAAACAAAGCTGCAGTCAGTCACTCTGAGCCTTTACTCTGAAGGGTGGAAATGTGAGCGTTGGTTTGTGTGTGTGTGGGGTCAGACCAGGAGGTCAGAGGTCGTCTGTCGTACTCGGGCAGCTCCGGCGTGCTCTTGCTGGCTTCCAGGTTCAGATACTTAAAGATGTGGACCTTCCCTTTGATACATATCTGCAGGCAGGACAGCAGAGCATTAAAGTTAGATTTGGGGACGCCAAGCTGCAGCTCTGATGTCACTTCCTGAGTACCTGTGCAGGTGGGCTCTGCAGTGGATTGTTGTCCAGGACGATGGCCTGCAGGTGAGAGAGGCCGCGGTAACAGACAGGGATGGAGGTCACTTTGTTGCAGGAGAAGTCGAGGCGCACCAGAGGAAGCTCTGCCAGCTCTGAAAACAGTCACAGTTCTTATCTGGACCTAAAAACCCGCTTCTGTCAGGAGCAGAACCAAAGCCTGCGGGGTTTACCTGAAGGAAGTCGGACCAGGTGGTTCCTCCTGATGTTCAGGTCTCTCAGAGCCTCCAGCTGACCTATTTGGGATGGTAACGTCCGGATTTCGTTACAGCTCACATCCTGCCGGAACAGAAAAGTGATCAGGAACCAATGGAGGGTTCTGATAAATAACGGGTCGGATCAGCTGGTAAAGAGACTCACCAGCTCAGTGAGGTGTCTCAGCTGGCCCAATTCCTCTGGCAGAGACACAAGTTTGTTATTGGAGGCGATCAGAACCTTTAGGGGGAGGCTACAGACGACAGCTGGGAGGACGGACAGCTGGTTCCGACTGTAGGACAGACAGACAGAGCCAGATGGGTCAGAGCCAGGGGTATGAGATAGAGAGAGCCACTTTGTAAACGAAGCATGAGGCGTATGGGAGCCACTGTCATGGTTCTAGTGCTGCTGTCGGGTCCAGCTGACAACACTACAGGAAAACATCCCAACGCATCCAGGGAGGATTGTAGACCAGGCCTGATGGGTCATAGGTAACCATGGGAACCAGAACAGGCCGAAGAGAAAGGGGCGGAGCAGACCGCCAAGAGGTCGCTTAGGGACGCACCTACAACTATCAGCATCAGACAGGAAGTGAGACGCTGGGGCAAAGTAGAAAACATCCTCTTTGGAAAATACAAACTAAAACAGTCAGATTAAAACACCGACACGACGCTGAGCTAAACAGAAGGCGGCCATCTTTTCTGATCAGCACAGAGCCAAATATTTCCCTGTGAAGGTAAGAGATCTGATTTTTCTGCCAATAAACTTTTTTTTACCATTTAATTCCTTTATTTTCTCCTTGGTTTCATTGTAACTGAAAAATCTTGAGTTTTTACATCTTTATTCGATTTCTGCATTTCAAAGTTTTAAACGATTAATCCGTTCTTGAGTATTACATTCTGCTGAAGCATTAGGCTTCCTTTTGATTTTATTTTCCATCATAACTCTTTAAGAAAACAAAATCTTGCTGAAACCTTTAAAAGAAAAGATTCAAAAGAATTTTGCTTTTAGTTTCTGTATAGTTACTCAACTTTTTCAACAAAATATATTTTTTACTTCCTTTTAAATTCTTTTACACATTTGGACAGGTCTTAAATATATGATTATTTACTGCTGGTGATAAAAGCAGACTGGAGTCACATTAGAGCTTTATAGATCCTTGGTGGCTCCATGTTAGAGTGAGAAGCGACTTCTTCTTGGACATCGCATCCAAAGATTCAAGACCCCAAAAAAAAATGCAAACAAGGTTCAACCTTTAAAGCATCTAGGTCGTATTAAGGAGGCAAAGGAAGTTTGTGGAGGTTGCCAGTTTTCTTCTGAACAAGTCAAATGTTTGATTTGGTTAGTGCTAGCATTAGCATTAGTGGGCCTAGCACCAGGCTGGCAAAAAGAGTGCAGGCGAGGGCACCACTGATTGGCCAGGAGAGTTATCGCCTTTAAACTGAACAGATTGCTGCTGTTATGGTGAACCATGTCTTAGAAGTTTTGTTCTTCAGGTTTATTATTTCCTGACAGATAATGATCAAGTTCTACTTTCTAACTCACATCTGGTTTTAAATAACTGAGTAAGGTGGTTTGTTTTCAAATTCTGTCATAATAGTATGGCGTATGGCATCATAGTATGGCGTACACTGTAAAGCTGGGCGTACACTGAACAATGTTTTGCCTTTTTGGGCCAATTTTCCAGTCCGTGCCAGAATTTTTCGATCGGCAAGACTTTCAGCTTGATCGTGCGTCATGTAGTGTTTGGGGGGGATAATGAGGGGCAATCAGCCGCTCGCGAACATCTCCAGATCAGGAATCGTAAGGACGGGAGAAAATCAAACGTGTTTGAAATTTAGTCAGCCGTCGTAACGTGTTTGTGGGCAAATCACTCAATGTGGAAACAAGGATTCTTCTTCTCCTCTCAGACGAAAACACAGAAGCATGGCGGGGGTGCGAGTCAAATGGAGTTCTTTCTGTAAAATTGACAGATCGTAGTAGCCATGTTTGCTCAGCCATGAATTTATCCCAATATGTCGTCAACATTTATTTTTAGGGCTTTCAGCACAAAATTGCACAAATTGCCAAGGGAGCGCGTTTCACTCTAGTGACCTTCATATTCAACAGGAGGCTATCGACACTTTTTTCTCTTCTACTCGTTTGGCTTCCGGATAGACAAGTCCAAATAGTGCCACCTCACTGTGGAGCTGAGTCCGACGTGGTTTACAGACGTACAGTGTGAGCAGGTAGATCGCGCCGCACAGTGTGAGAACATGCATCGTGAGCTGTAAACTTTTGAACCCTGCGGCCTTGGCGTACAGTGTGAGCTGTGGCTGCATGCAACGATTGAAAAAAAAAATAATAATACAGTGTATGCCTGGCATTAATAAAAAGTGAGTTTAGGCATTAGCCATTTTTAGAGTGCACCGTTTAAATATTTAATGGAGTCTCTATTTGGTTGTTTTTGTTCCTCTAAATCAGCAACCTTTAGGTGTGCCTTTGGTTCAACACACCTGAATCAAGTAATTAGATGATTGGGAGGACTGTGGAGGAACTGACTGCATACTGAGGAGTAGTGACGGGTTCATGAGGCATCTTGAAGCATTTCATTGCCAAACTGTATTGATGCTGTGTTGATACTGTCTCACAGGATACTGAGACCTGCTGGACCATGAAATACACTACAGGCAGCTTATTTGACAAACTAAACTGAATTGATTTGAAGACCTAGTTTAATTATTTTCATTTAAGTTAGTGTATGAAATAATGTTGTATTATTTCATTTCTATGTTTAAATTGATAATATCTTTGCTATTTTTAGATACAGCATACAAATAATGTAAACATATATCATAATGTGAAAATTTAGCAGAAAATGTGAATGAGGATGTTTTTGGACAAGGATTTAAAATCATAACTTTAAAACAATAAGTTCAATAAAAACAGTAAATAAACTAAGAGTCAATTTGAAATTGACTTTAATTCAGATAAGTTGAGAGATAACTGAGAGGAAAAGGATGACACAATGTGAAAATTAAAATAAAAAACGCAACGCTGGTTCCTATTCCTTTTAGGACGCTACAAAATTCTTGATAACTTTAATGATAAAAAAAGATGATTTTTTTAGCAGATGCATAATGTTGACTGATACATTTTTAAACACAGTTTAGTGAGTCAGTCAGAAAGAAACAACTCCTGTATCGGTCACATGAGTTTCATGAAACGACACGCGCACAGATACAGCATTTTGCTCTATGGCACCGACACATCGGTGTTGTTGGACCAATCACTACTGAGGAGGTAAGTCAGCCATTTGATTTAGATGTGCTGGACCAAGGCTGAATGTATAAGCTGCAGTTAATCAGACCTCGGGAACTGGAATCCCCCCCTGCTCTAAATGGAGGCTAAGCCGTAAGATTAGTGAGAACCCCTTTTTCAGAAGTGGGCGGTCGGTGTGCATGTTTGTGTGACTCAGACCTGAGGTTCAGATGGGTCAAAGCTTGCAGATTTACGAGAAGATCCGGCAGAGACCTCAGACAGTTCTGGTACAGGTTCAGATATTCCAGAGAGACGAAGCCACAGACCTCCAGCGGAAGCTCCGACAGGCGATTCCGTGACAGATCTGGACAAAGACAGTTTAGATTAGATACATTTATTACACACATCAGTAATTTAACAATCAGGAACCTGGAGCCTGGTTTAGACCAAAAAAAAAAAAAAAAACACTCCAAAGCAAAACCTTAAGCAGAGCTCTGCATCTACATCTGACATCCAGATTTATTTAACTCAGGGAGCTTAAAACCTGATAAGCTAAACAAAAGGTTCTCAATTCTGCTCAGGTTTTCCTACCCTGAGTTTTAGTTCTCCTTGCTTCTGCAACCTGTCTCCACTGCAGGAAATAGTTTTTCATCTTTTTCATCGCATTTGTCACAACTTTGCACCATTGCAGGAAATGGCAGCAGTTAGCCAAACAGAGAGGGGTGGGGGTAGAAGTGCACCGCAGAGTAGAGAGACAATTAATATACAGACTAGTAATGAAACAATTAATCAGATTAGTCTTGATTTATCGATTATTGAAATAATCGTTAACTAATTTATTAATGGATTGTTAACTGGAGTATATATGCCTTTAGCTGACAGATAAACCCACTTAGAGCAATAATTATACCTAGATTGTAAACAAAAATATGAACATTTTGCAGTATAAAAAAATCTTTTTCATCCGTCAGTATGCTCCACCTAGTCTCAAGTAGAAAAGTTTAGTTCCATCTTGTTTGATTTAGTAAAAAATCTTCATTAAGGAACATTTTGCCGTCTAAATATTATTAATCGAATAAATTATTAACAGATGAATCGATTTGCAAAATAATCGATATTTACAGCCCTAATACAGACATAAAACGTTATTCAAGACTCATTGAGAAGCTCATAGGAACCATCTGGATGTGAGACGCAGTTTGTTTTGTTAAAATTCATTTACAACCCTTCAGACCTAGAGATTTTGTTCCTGACTGTAGGCGTTGTGGTCTCTGATTAATTGATTCTGATTGATTTGTTAATAAATGTTTCCTTTTGTTTAAACCGAGACTGGTGTGAAATTTATTTATCATGTAAATAGAGGAAGAAAAAGCAACATTAGTCTAAATAATCAGCTCCTAAAAATCAGCAGCACATACCAGGGTTCAGTTGGACTGATGTTAAAATAATCTGTATCAGCCTTAAAAAAGATCTTAAATGAGGCCTTTATAGGTGGAGGTCTACAGGCATGTGATGATTCGCCTTTGGAGCTGAGAGAAGATCAATATATGATTACATTACTTAAGATCCTGGCTGTTTCTGCTCTTCCGAACTGTTTGTTGGGTTGAAATGTCGCTCAAATCTCATTAGACTGCCACAATAAAGAGTTTCCCTCTATTTTTATTCATGTGTCCCACACAGCACCTGCTGACACAATAAACATAACACCTATTTCTCCGTATTAACTGCTTTGCTGCTCGTGACGAGGTCCTTCTTATGAGGCTGCAGGTCACTTTAGAGCCAGACACAGTTCACTCTGCGGTCAGATTTCACCCTCACAGTAATGGGAACGACTAGACACAAAAAAATCTGGTACCTGAAGGAAATCGGGTTTGAATATCAACATCAGTCAAAATAACAAAGGGGTACCCGTCTCAGTTTTGTTGGATGAAGTCCAAACTTTGAATTGATCTCAATTACCTGTTCATCACTGTAATGTTTAATAAATTAAGGCTTTAAATATGACCCCAATGATTCTATTAGGAACATAAATAATAGATGCGGGCTACACGTAAGTGTAAATAAAATCAATAAAAAAAATCATAAAAACTGAGACTCATGCAAAAACACTGGATTTGTGTCTGTTGTAGTTTATATTAACTGAATAGAGCCACATTTCAAAAACTTCCTTTTTGATAAAGCTCATAGTTAGAGTGGCTCAGTTTATCCTGAATTATCTCTATAGTTATGCTGCTATAGGCTTAGACTGCTGGAGGACATAGGGACCCCTTTTTTATCCTTTTGCTCCATTCTTTCTCTATTCTCTCACTGCAGAATCTGTTAGTTCAATCTCTAACGTTCTGCTCTCTCTGCTTTTTCTCATAGTAGCTTTGCTCATCTGTTCCTGTTTGGCTGTGACTCCATTCTGGAGAGAAATATCAGCAAATGTGCTGCTGCCATCAACACCTTTGCTAATAGATGTTGGAGATCGGCCTGTTTTTCAGTGTAGTCCTGTTTCTCTGACTGTGACTAACTGGATGTGTTCTTTTCGTCCTCTGACATGGAGGCTGGCTCGGAGCTCGTCTGCCAGGCTATGTGTTTTCTGGATGGGGCCGCCTTTTACAGTTTCTTTTGTATCTCTGCCTCTGTCTCCTTGAACCCCAGTCGGCCTCTGCAGATGGCCGCTCACACAGAGTCCGGTTCCGCTGGAGGTTTCTTCCTGTTAAAAGGGAGTTTTTCCTCTCTACTGTGGCTACAAGCACGCTTAAGGCTGATTTATACTTCGAAACCAGGTCCTCTGCGTAGGTGTCACAGTGAACAAAAAGATTTCCCCGCCCCTCCGCAGACACTCGGCTGCACCTCGCCCAAATTGTAACTGACCGCAGACAGTGTCGCAGACAGGAGGCCAGGTTGTTTTGTTTTTATGACCGAAATTGCGGAAAACAACTTGTGAAGTTTGACCAGCTAGACGATCGAGCTGTGCGAGAACGCTGGGACCCTTTTCCTACTTGGATCCCCGCTGTTTTTCGCCGTCATGTCCCTCCATTGTCAGACTAACCTCGCCCCCACATCCTCATTGCCTCGGCCGTATCTACACCCACAGCACAGACCAAGCTTCAATATTGAGCATAAATCAAAAACGTCTGCGTCAAGCTGACTGCGACACACTGCTGCAGGAGTATAACCAGCCCTTTAGTGTGAGGGATTGTTAAGGGGGATGTTTTAGTGCTCTTTAGTTTATTATGGATCGTGAAGTTTTCTGGGGTATTCCTGCAGATATTCACACCATTTTCATTATTTTATGTCCAGAGTTTAGCCTTATGTTTGTTGTACGTTTTCTGTGTGCAGACACGCTTCACACCCCTGGCCCCTGCAGTCAGAACACAGCCAAACAGGACGCCATAAGATCATCTGAACCAGGTGCTGGAATGAGAGGGAGAACTGATAACTATGCTGGACTCTTTTCAACCTGGGAGCTGAGTGAGAGTTCCAGGTTTTAACAGATTGCTGTGCCGTCCCGTGCCAGCCGTACATGACGGCTTACCTTTGATTAGCAAAAGAAAAAGCCAAGTGAAGCCAGGAGCCTTTTTCCTAAATGTAATCAGAACTGTGACTGAACACAATGCTGTAAGGGCAGCATTTGCGAAGGAATCTGCCTTGTTAAATAGCCATGCAACTATGGAGTGAAATCTGTTCCATTTTTGTTGCCAGCAAAGAAAACAGTCTGTAAATGATATAAAAAATGAAAAAACAAAAAAAGAGAGCAAGAAAGAAACAAAAAACATCTTTTTTTTGAGAGTAGCTTTGCTTGTTTGCTCAGATTTTATTTTTTCATATCCAAAAAAAAAACACACAAAAAAAAAACAATCATATTTGTTTTTTCAAACGTTATTTTTTTCTTTTTTTTTTCCCCCTGATATCTTATTATTTGAAAGACCCCTTTTCAGATGAAGCTTTACAGTTTGCATTCTCTTTACTGCTTTCCTCTATACCGAGGAGCGGAAATGCATTTCTATTGGTCTGCATGAATGTTAGCAACAATCTTGTTCAGAGTGAATGTTGGAATTGGGCTTTGAATTTGAATAGATTGCAAATCATTAAACTCCATCCAGAAAAGACGTTTGGGAAAAATCTCATTTGAAAATATAAAATCTGTAAAACCAATTTAAGAAATAACATTTTACAAATAAAATCTGAAAAACTAAAATGAAAAACAATGTTAATCAAATCAGAGAAAACAGTAAAGTTCTTCTCAAAACCTTTTACTTTTGTTAAAAAGTTTTACGTTTTATATCTAAATTGCATTTTATTTGAATTTCTTTAACTTTACAAACGTTCTCTTTACCTGAGCAATAATGGAACAAAATTCACTCTATACACACCCAGTTGTGAAGCCTGACCCCTTCATAGAGCAGATTTTAAAGGCTGAGCTCGGTGTGTTCCATTGTTCCATCCTGAATGGTTTTAAAAATTTAAGCCTCTTTCCCACTGAAAATACCACGTTAAACCAGTGTAGGTACCATATCTGGTCAGGTGGTCAGATCTGCTCAGGACCTGTGCATGCCAGTGACATTACACTACATGATTGGCTGAATGTTGCCACATGATGTAGAACATTGCGGTTGCCCAGACAACGATAATAATATCATACAGCATCCGTGTGCCAATTCGGGAGCAAATAACAAAACTGAAAAAAAAAATATGTTTATGGTGATCAAAGTAACTGCAAGACCATAGTACGAACGGGGAGAGCTGGGTAGCGCTGTAGCTAGCTGTGCTCAATAGCAAACAGGTTAGCCTCTTTTTAGCCCAATCAGTTAGCCATATTAAGCTATACTACTTTTAACTTTGTTTCAACAACTACTGTTCCTTTTCTACAAGTATAATAACTGTTGTTTTCTTTGTCTAAAATATCTATGAGTCATTTTTAAGATGTTCCACATGTCCTTCCCTGCCCTCAGATCTTAAGAATTTTTTGTCACCTTGGTAAATGGCAGAGCTCTGAGAACGCAGTTCCTTCAAGATTGACAATATTTTCTACTTTCAGCTACTTTAGATCGCTTATTAAATGTACAATAACAGCAACTATAGGTAATACTAAATATAATATAATATGTTGAGACTCCAAACGAGATCTGATTCTTAAGAAACTGGTACAATACAGTTTGTCCAAGTGGGGTTGCCATATGATGACCTCATAAAAAGGGGCGGGCCCCCGAGCAGATCTGGTACCTTGACCGAGATGCTCAAACATAGCTGCTAACAATCTGCGTTTGGCTCCCTTCCTTCTGACAACAAAAAAGCTATGTCTAACCCCCTGTTAGCAAGCTGCATGTCTGGTCACACCATCATGCTGGGTTAGCATTGATGATGTCACCAGTGCGACAGAAATTAAGGAAGTAAACAATGGAGAGGAAACATGTAAGGAAGCCAGGGGGTAATAAGTGTGCCTTATTGTTTTGCTCTCTTGTTCCTTCAAATTCCTCCGACCAGAGCTGCTCCATGTTTATCGAATGTAAACAGAGTTGTTTCAGCTTGTTGGAACAAACGTGGCTTGTGCACTGTTATCATCTGTACGTTGTGTTTAATGGTGTCAAGTAAATTAGGCTGTCAACCCGGCTCTGGCATGCTGATCAGAGCCGAGGTGATTTTAGGGCCGGTTGTTTGCTGAGTTGTTTGACAGAGGTGGACACGGGTCAGTGAGCTGTTCCCACTGCCATTAAAAGCCGATTGTTCCCGGGTTTAAACGTGTTTTTCGGCCGGTGGAAAAGGGGTATAACTGTACATCAAATAGTGACATATCAGATAGAAACAGCATATATACCTGGTCAGTGGGGAGTGGCGGCCTAGTGGGCATAGAGCTTGGAAATCCTGAGGTTGTGAGTTCGAAAACCCACTCCCACAGACTGCTACTCTGGATCTCTGAGCAAGAAACTTAATCCCCGATTGCTTCCCGGGTGTCCCACGATGGCAGCCTGCTGCTCCCCAGGGGAGGGGTTAAAGGGGTCATAGAATTCATCATAGATTATATAGGGTATAAGAAGGGTCGACTGCTGGGCCGCTGACTGGACCGGACCTCACCAGAGAGCCATGAGCCGCCCGTCCTCAGCTAAAAAAGTGTCCTCCTTTTCAGAAACCCAAATCTGGTCCATAGATATGAAGAAGTTTATCAAATCCTGCTTTAAACTATCCAAGATTTTGAAAACTGTCTTTTGTAAAATGCTTAGAGCAAATAAACAGCTGAGCATCCAACTTTGCAAGGATCTTCTGATAGACAAAAATTATCCATGCCTGTTGAGTCTTCGGATCTTTAGGAAGGCTGTGAAAATTTTCCTCATTCTCCATGCAGCTTGGAACTGGCTGATATATATGGCTGGAACTGACTGGTTCTGGCTCATTTTCAATAGAAAAACTGCCTGCTTTGTATTTCCTGTAGAAGTAAACCCAACTGTAGGCTAAACAACTAAACTGGTGTCTTACATCTATTCCTGTTCTTGGGCCACTAACCAGTGGGCTGGTCTGTGTCAATTTCAGGACGTGACAAAAGTACAGACTAGAACCAAATTAGGCAACATTCCTGAATTGACGTCAACTCGGCGCATAGTTTGGATTCGCCCGTTTTATGGTGGAAGTTTAGAATTGTGAGATTTACAGAAAAAGAAGGTGTCTGTGGGGGTTTGAACTTCTCTGTACGTCCATGTAACCCACTGAACTATCGTTATTCACCTATGACAATGTAAACTCGGTTTTGCTTTCTATTACCCCTTTAACTGCACAGGTAAATTTCTCCAATGTGAGATCAATAAAGTTCAATTATTATTATAAAGCTTTTTTCATCAACATGAAAACACATGAAGCGCTTAGACTTGATACAAACAATGTGAAAACAAAATGCCAACAGACTATTTTTAGAGAAGTTATTGCTTTCTCTGAGGTGTGTCTCTCTGTGACGCCCTGAAACTACCGTTGCCATGGTTATTTGGACACTAGATGGGTGCATGCTGGGTGTTCATACTGAATTCACCTTCGCATGTGGTGGATTCTTTGAATTTTTGGATGTATGATGATGACTTGAACATTTTGGACACACCTCAACTTGAGGAGGATAAGTTTCAGAGTCCTTTTACAGACAGGCGTGTAGAGGAGACGCCTCCTCCTCTTCAACAGTTCACTATTTAAAGAACAGAAAACATTTTCTCCTCCCGCCATCACTCTCAGCCAGCTCCTTCACCAGCGACAGGCTACAGAGCCAACCCACCGAGGCTATAATTGTCAGAGCAGCTGTGAGGGCAGCAGGAAGTAGTCATCACCACGGCAACCTCAGCTTGCTGTAGCACAGCCACTGGCGATCCTGATTATACCACAAATCTCAGACAGGAAGTGATCCCCCTGAGCATTTCCTGTTTGCTTGTGACCAGGATCATAAACGGGCCTCCAGCTGAGACTCTGGATCGGTTGGGCGATGAGTGGAACGGCAGCTGGGGATTATGGGTACCGTGCAGGGAAGCAACAAAGCACCAAGCAGTACTGAATCAGAGCAGAATTTCTGGTTTACAGAAGAAACAGGATCTAAACCAGAACTTCCTTCAAGACAGCTGATAGTTCAGCATATGTTACCGTGGTGACTTTTAGATGTGATTTTTCTCAGAACTTTATCTGACTCCTCTTTATATCTGAAGGAGCAGAAGAATTGGATGCCCTGTGATTTAACTGAATTTTTACAGAATTAATCTGTTCCATATCTGATGCAACTTTTAAATCCTTTAACTTGGAGGTCTTCAACAGGGGGTCCACGACCCCTAGGGGGTCCTCTGGGGTACTGCATGGGAGTCGTAAAAGTTTTGGTTGATTACTTTTTTTTTATATTCCCCTCTATATTTCTCCACTAATTGAAATGTCTTTAAATCCACATCAACATGACTTCAACATACTGTAGTAAACAGATAAATGGAGGCAGAAGATGTCTGTCAGTCATCAATGCACACATTTAGCGACACACAGGCGCTCTTTCAAGCTGGACACCGTTTCAGTCACAACACCTATCCCATCAACAAGGAATCAGAAATACTTTAATAATCCCAGGGCTAAATTACTTTAAATCACATATGTAATAGAGTGCATATAGGACCAGTTTGATATAACACAATTTCCTACTATATATAATTAGGGGGTCGCCGCTCCATCTCGCCATCAGTTTTGGGTCCTTGGCCTGGAAAACTTTGAAGACCCCTGCTTTAACTGATCACTGGTCTATCAGTGAAAGATCCAGCTGCTTGTGTTTCTGGATCATCAGAGCCTCAGTGAGTGAGCGTACTGTCTTTGCCTTGTCTCTAGGGACAAGGCAAAGACACTGATGGTACCAAAAACAACAGTAGTTATTAATTATCATTCATATAAAAGTCCGGCAATCTGTCCAGGGTGTGCCTCGCCTCTCGCCTATTATTGACTGCTGGAGATAGGCACCAGCACCCCTCGCAACCCCAATTGGGACAAGCGTGTCAGATAATGGATGGATGGATAAAAGTTGGGGGTGAAGCAAAAATTAGACACTTTAAGCCTGTAGAACAAGAAAGCACTGATGAAGATCAAAGTCTGTTGTGTTTCTTTGATATAACCAAATAATAAAACCTGTAATTCAGCCATAATTTGAAAAAAATCAATGTTTACAATACCGCATCTGCTAGGCCCGATCGATAATCAGCTGATCATTGATTTGTTTGGCTTTTTTTCTGAAGGTGCGCTTGTTTCCTGGACCACACCATCCCCAAAGGGGCGGAGCCTGTCTTAGGCGTTAAAAACAAAAAAACAAGAAAACAAAGCAGCAGAGGTGTGTTTTCACCTTTTCTTATCCCATCTATGACTACAGCTTCTGGTATGAACTGAACAATATCTGGAGCAACATCATTAACAGAGGCTGCAGAATAAAATGAGCTGAGGCTGTATTTAGCAGCCGCCCCCCCCCACCTGCAGACACGCCTTACCCACAGGTCAAACAAGCCTGAGACCCTGTTTACTAAAGCAGGTTTATAACTACACTGTTATAAATACTATTATAGGGTTCTTTTTTATCAGCAGTGCTCAATGTAAACACCGGAAACTCGCAGCTGGGCATATGGAAGTTAACGGAGGTCAATTTATGAGGGACTCATTTTAAACTTTTAGTACATAAAAATGTATCCCAGATTATCTTCGCTGCCTGGTTTGGTGCTCAGGCATTAATCTAAGGAACGTCTCACATCGCTTACACAAAGCAAGACCTCCAGGACTCTGAGCTCAAGAGTTTGTCACAACACCGGCCCTCTGTTTTCCATCATCCTCCTCTGAAACTGGAAGTTGGACTCAACCTTCCCCCGATTTAAGTCTCTTAAAACCCCGTTCCGAACCACTTCACTAAACCCATCAGAGCCCAGTTCTACTCCAGGGGTCCACTGGCTGCTTTGGACCACACTTACCAGCCCGGACGGTGTCGGTCAGGTCGTGGTTGGCAGCGCTCCGGGGATACTCCTTCAGCTTCCTGCCGCTGAGGTTCAGACAGCCGCTAACGGAGGCTTCTTCCAGAGCCCGGTCCAGGGAGCGGTTCCAGGACGCCGGACCGGCCTGGCCCAGTCCGTTAGAGTTTCCTTGAAGAGAATTCCCACCGGCTCCGACCGTGAAGTTGAGTCCGGTGCTTTCCGCAGACCCCAGTAAAACCGAGGCCGCCATTACACGCTCCGGCTGTTAGCCCGCTATGCTAACGACTGAAGGGGCGGAGCATGCGCAGTAAGGCGCGAGGAGGAAGCACAACAAGACAGACCGACACTGACCTACAGAGACACCGTCCCACCGGCAGACCATAATACTGCTGTATAATGCTACATTACTACCACAAATAATACAGATAGAGTACTCAAGATTTTACACAAGACTAGATAGAAATACTTCGAATTTTATTACAGAAATGCAATTAAAAATCCAAGAAATGACTTAAGAGTAAAAAAAGTACTTAGTAAGATGGCTACTCAAATACTAACTATTGGCTTTTAACATTTGATTTAAGGTTTGGAAAAGGATAATTATTTGCAAATTCTGGTATTTAAAAGCAATGGAAAAAGAAGTTATAAATATATGATAAAGTTATAATCTTTGGACCAGAGTCTTAAAAAAAAGAAGCTGATTACTTGGTCACTTAATTTGGATGGAATTAAAATGATCTCAGATAATAAAACAAAAAATCTTGGTGTTATTTTTGATCAGGACCTGTCATTTAATCCCATATCAAAGCTGTTTCTAGAATTTCACAAGTAAGACTTCCGGAGGACATGGGGAGGACTTTTTCCTCATTCCACTTCATCTGGTCTGTTCCTGTTTGGCTGTGACACCATCCTGGAGAGAAATATCAGCTGTGCTGTTGACATCAACATCTTTGTTTATAGATGTTGGAGATCTGCCTTTTTTCAGTGTAGTCCTGTTTCTCTGACTGTGACTGGCTGGATGTGCAATCTTCATCCTCCAACATGGGAGCTGGCTCAACGCTCGTGTGCCTGGCTGTGTGTTTCCTGGACGGGGCCGCCTTTAATAGCTGCTTTTTGTATCTCTGCTTCTGTCTCCTGAATCCCAGTTGGCCTCAGCAGATGGCCACTCAGACTGAGCCTGATTCTGCTGGAGGTTTCTTCCTGTTAAAAGGGAGTTTTTCCTCTCCATTGTCACTACAAGCATGCTTAGTGTGAGGGTTGCCTTTGAGTCATTGATTTGATGCAATCAACACGTTTTCCTTAGATAGAAAAGTTTGAATAAATTTTATTAGATTATCTGATGAACTGTAAAGTGCCTTGAGATGACTTGTGTTGTGTATTGGCGCTATATAAATAAGCTGAAATTAATTGAATAGAAAAAGTACAAAGAAATAAAACATAAGATAAAAGAAACACTATTAAAATCCTTTTTTCAACAAATACTTATAAAACAAACGGAATATAATGTATATGTCAGAAAAAGATAAAGAATCCCCAGCAACGAGATCTACTTTTTACTATATTTTTATCTGATATCAAAATAGCTCAAGTTACTCAAGGTGGGTAGCGTAACCAGCAATTGTACTCAAGTAAAAGTAGCGTTTTTCTCATACGATTATTACTTAAGTAAAAGCGAAAAAGTATAGTAAAGTACAACTACTCCAAAAAGTACATTTTTATTTAAAATGTACACAAGTAAATGTAACTGGGTCCATGTAACTAGTTATTACCCACCGGTGATTACTACAGACCAAACAAGAAGGCTACTAGAACACTGATCCTAAATACTATTATATACTGCCACTATAATACTACACATCATAAATATTGCTGTATATTACTATAAATACAAATGATTCAGATATAGTACTATAGACTGACCTTAATGTGTGGGTCATTCCGCCAGCCCATGTACATTTGGCATTTTTGGGGTTATTTTTACTTCAGTGGGCCATAAAAAAAAAAAATGCACCGTATTTCTTATTCCTAGTTTAGTGTGATAGAAAACATCCAGGGCTTTGAAAAAACTCAAAATTTACATGGGTCGGCCCAACATTTTTTTTATTTATAGCCCCTCAAAGGGGATGAATAGCAAAAATAAATTGCTTTTTTTACAATCTCCCTGTATTTCAAGCAATGTGCTTTTAACAAAGGCAGGATTAGAGCACCATCAACTTTTTTTTTTTTCCATCAATGTGCGATCAGAGCTTGGTTTAGATTTATCCCTAGCTACCTTAATCAATTGTCATGTCTTCTTATAGATTGAAATGCGTCTGAATAATAGTGGCGGCTAACTTAAAGCCTCTTAGTGTTAACCGGAGGAAGTAAACTCTGGACGTGACACTGCGAATGGACTCACTAACGACTCTGCACATAGTTTTAGCTTGTTTACTCTTCAATTTCTCTGCCTTGCCTTTCTGTACATTTTTCCCCCCAAAAATATGTAAAAACTAAGTAATGGTAGTAGAAACATCTAACCAAGGCATCCTCAAAGTCGGTCCTCAAGGGCCGCTGTCCTGCAGGTTTTAGAGGTTTCCCTGCGTTAGCACAGCTGATTATGATCATTGCAGTTCAGCAAAAGCCTGTTTATCAGCAATCAAGGAAAATTAGCTGTGCAGAAGCAGGGAAACCTTTAAACCTGCAGGACACCCTAAAGGACTGACTTTGCGGAAACCTGAACTAACCAAGAGACAATTAGACCTCGGCCCTTAAGGCTTGGCATAATACAGTCATAATAGGGCATACGACCCAGTGGGTAATGTGGGTGACGAAAGTGATCTATCACGGAAAAAAATTTAAATAACGTATTTTTTTCGGCCCCACAGAGACTATTCGGTCCATTTATGTTTAAACTGATATCCCTTTATTGTATTCAAGTTTTTTTTTATTTTGTTATGAACATTACCTACCATAATGTCTGCCTTCAAACTTTTTTTTGTGTGCATTTTTCTACTATTTCTGGGTAAATTTGAGCAGTTTTAATCAACATTTTTTGCCATTATAACATGGTTTTTAATGCTTTTCGCAACTTCTGTATTTATTTCCTAATATTTCAATGTGTTTGAGGAGCTTTGGAGTGGTTATTACAAGCACAGCACCTGTTTATACCTGCTTGTGTCATAAACGTCACGCAAATAACACATTTTTAATTATTTGCCTATTTGTCTTTGAGCCCTGACCATACAAATGGTATGTCTGCCACCAGGCAGAGGATGTTTTTTCAATAAGAACACATGCTGGAGATTTAATACAGTAGATATCATTATAAATGTGGATAGTTTTAATGGGATAAGTGTAAAGTTAGGCTTCTGTTTCAAAAATTTGAGGAAAATACAATGTTGGGAAATATTTAATGTGCCATATCTTCAAAAGTATTTGAGTGTTGGCTACAATCTTTGGTACACAGACACTAACATATGGTAGCAAATTGAACAATTAATAAGGGAATAATAGGATGTATATTGTGATTGTGCATTACATTCAAACATTTACAGTCACGCGCATTACGCTATTTATATAATTTTCTGCCTCCATCTCTAAAATCTGACCCATTAGAAGTTAGCACCTTGAATGAATGCTTCCATATAACCAAGATGTATGCCTGCTAATAAAATATATTGTTATGAAGTAATATTGATTTTTCCATTTTGACCACAACCACCCCTAGATAATAAACTTTGTATAAATGTGTACAACTTATAAAGATCTACTGCCCACACTGTAAACTCATTCTAGTGTCCCAAACATGGTATATGATATCTATTCTACTTTATCAATAATATAATGACCACAATAGTGCTATATAACTACACCCGTAATGTGTAGAGTGACTGAATCTCAACAACAGAATCTTAATGAGCCACTATTCTACACTATTCTTCACAGAGTAATCATAAATAGTTGTATTTTTATTCTATTGCTATTCTATATATAAATATTTTTACTCCACTTCTACTCCATTCATTAAAAAAAAGTTATTTTCCCTGACTTAAAAATAAACATCAAACATATCTAACATATAGATGTATTTGCTACTTTGTCTAAATTGCAAATCAAATTCAGTCATATTGCAACCACAGATAGGCTCACATTGGAAGGTAGCAGGACTTTCGCTCAGTTTTTCAACAACATTTTGAAACCTATCCAGGAGTCTTTGTCAGTTCTGTTGCTCAATCCTCCTGAACACTCTCCAAGTTGGATGCAAATTTAATGGCCGCCCCTTGTTCTTCTGGATTATTGGAGTCTTTGTTGTGGATGGGCTTTGTGATTTCATCTTTTGAATAATCATGGGAGTGCTTATGTAGTTTCTTTGGAATGCGTTCTATAACTGAACCGTAATTTTGTTAGAAGCTGAACCAACAACCCCCACCCCCTCCTCTGTTGAGTGATGGTTTTTCTCTTTTGACAAAGATGGCTTGGCTTCTTTCACCCTCTTTAAAACCATTTGTCCCCTTTGTCCAAAATCTGAACATTTTGGTTTGAAAGGTGTGTCCTTTATAGTTGAGGTGCAAGTGTCCAGCTGACTTGGCCATAGTTACATGCTATGGCTTGCGTTGGTTTAATTGTTTGCTTTCACTAATAAAGGAGGCTGTACAGTCTTCACTGCAATGGATAATCAGCAACACTCAGCTTAGGTTTGGGTGTTCTGTCTTAAGGATGAACCAGTTTTTGTCTAAGTGTGTTGTTGGGTTTGAAATTCACAGGTATGTTGTTTTGAGAAAATCCTTCAGAGTTTCTCAGAAATTCTTGACACATGGAATCAGAGTGTTTTTGCATCTCTGTTTTCTCCTCTGTGATGCAAGCAGAGTTGTTTATTCCAATAGTTTTGTTTTTCTGGCCAACTAACAAACTTCCAGTTTGGATAATCACATGCTTCAAGTGATTTCTTTTCCCCTCTGCGGTAAAACCACTTATCTCTGTCCATTCACTGGATTGCTGATTGCCCGAAAAAAGTGAAGCCACCGTCCGCCATGCTGGTACTCCCCACTCCCACTGAGACATGCAGTAAAAATGCCTACATGTGTGGCATTTGGCTGCAAAAACAAGCTGTTTGCCAGCTGTAGGAAGACATTCCACAGTCAGTGGATGGACAAACCAAGAAAATCAATATATATGCCAATGTATCCTATACTATGTATGGTAACATCAATCTGGCTATCTTGGACTGACTTGAAGATATTGACTGAATTAGCCATTGACATTATGTTTAATGTAAGACAATAGAAAGTAGAGTATATAGAAAGTAATTCACTGTGAAATGTCAATGT